CGGAGAAGACTGGAGACACGGCCTCGCCTGAGCCGTCGTTGTCTGGACGTGCTCAATACGCACAGGGCCTGGCGACGCTGGCCTTTTGTGGGGATTCTGCTTCGGTATGTAGGGCCGAGTTCTCCTCCTCCTGCCTGCTCTGTCCAGCCTAGGAGAACAAGCCATACCTCTCTCCGACAGCTGTTGATGCTCCCCTCTGCCCCCCGCCCTCGGCTCCTGAGGTCGTGATGCTCTGCTGCCGAGCCCCGAGCAATCTCGTCCAGCACAAGGCTGCAAGGGAAACAATTAATAGAACAGATGGGACAGCGTCCACTCAGGATGTAGCTGCATCCCGCCCTGGTCAGCCCCGCCTTTCCCTGTCCTCGGATGCCAGCAGGTTGGCCTGGTGAAGCCCTGCTCCACACGTCGTTCTGCCTCTTCCCTCCCCAACACCTCCCACCCAGGCTCCGAGGGTGGAGGTAGAAGTTTGACCCCCGGTCTGCCTAGGAAATTCAGGCCGACCTGTGGGGCACTGAGGGCCAGCCCTTGCCCTTGCTGGCTCAGCCAGCAGCTCAGAAAGGCCAGGCCCGAGGGCCAGACAGGACGCGGCACTATGGGGAAGAAGGCGGGCTGCAAAGACATGCGCTTCCTGCAGCGCGCTCCCTGCACGCACACCCAGCCGGCCCAGGAGCAGCTGCCCAGAACCCAGCAGCGGGCAAGGCGAGGGCAGCGCTGTGCACGTGAGGGCACCTCAGCGCCCGGCGAGTTCAGACGCCACTGGCACTGATTTTGTGACCCCCCCACCCTCCCACCCCAAAACAGCTTCAGGCTGGAGCCCAGGGCCCAAGGAAAGGTCCTAGCAAGCTGCGGCTATCCGCAACCTCTGAGTACTTCCACACCCATTGTGTCCTGAGTCCTGTTATTTGCTCAGGCCCCACCCGCCGAGCTGAGGCCTGGCGGCCCTGTGTGCTCAGGCAGAGCCATGACGCCAGGCTTAAGGTGACAGCTTTGCTAATCCCTTGGCAGGGAGGCAGGAGCGTGGCCTTTGATTGACGCCCTGGTCGTGTCGGTCTCCCCTGTTGTGGTCTGCTCCCGAAGAGCAGAGACATGTCAGGCTCTCCCTGCCTGGGACGGAGCCCGGCCCTCCATGGACCCCGGGGGAAGTGGCTGCCCACTGACTGACAGGGACTGACTGGGCACCAGGTCAGCTGTAGCTTCCAGGTGTTGGGCAAGCTTCCTGGGGCCAATCAAGGGCACCACCACCAAAGGGCACGTGTGTGGCAGACCCTCGCCGCCCCCATCTTGGCCTGCCGGTTTGAGGAGGGAAGTGGCCTGATGGCACACTGGAGAAACTGAGTCACAAGCTCCAAGCCCCAGTAGGGTCTAGTAAACACTGGCCTTCACTGAGGGAGTCCCTGCCATTCCGAAGGAAACCTGAGGGGAACTGTGGCCTCCACACCCCTCAGCTGATACCCACCTTGCCACAGCCCACAGGTCTGAGGCTTCCTGGTCCATAGGGGTACGGGGCCCCCAGATTCAGGTGTTGATTTCATGGTCTCCAGCAGTATTCTGACTTCCTGTCATTTCAAAGGAAGTCAGGCGAGTAGGTGAGTTGTTTCCAAGTCTGGCTTCGCAGCTTCCCGAGAAGGCACTCTTCCTGGTGGAGTGGTGACAGGCCTGCACAGAGCTCGCTGATCTTCAACCCCCACAGCCGCCTCCACCTCCTACTCTCCTCTTTCTCCTTCCCTCTTTCCCTCTCCCCTGCTTCTACCCTTTGCCCCCTCCCCCTCCTCCTTCCCCACCCCTCACTCTCCATTTCTCCCTCCATCCTCCCCCTCCACCCTCCTCTACTGCCTTGTGCCTCTCCCGGCCTCTCATGAGCTCGGCTCCTTGCCCTGCTGTCCCCAGGGAGCTACTGGCACCCCTTCCTAGTTATGGGATCATAGGATGGGTGACTTCTCTTTGAACCCAGCTGAAACCCTTTGTGGACGCCTGCATGTGAGCCCTGCTAACCTGACCACTGCGTCTGCCCCCAGACCCCGTCTCTTGACCTAACCTGACCACTGTGTCTGCCCCCAGACCCCGTCTCTTGACCTAACCTGACCACTGTGTCTGCCCCACCTCAAACCCCTTTTCCTGATTAAGTGGTTGAGTGGGTCAGGAGAACACTTCCCTGCCATGGTGAGGGGGGCATCCAGGTGGTGGCAGAGAGGTTCAGGAAACACCTGCCCAAGATGGCCGAGGCTGATCTGCTGGGGGGCCTGGGTTAGGCCCAGCTGTGCCAGGGGCAGCGGCAGGCTGTGGGCCTGGCCTTCCACCTCTCTCCCCTGCAGATGAGGCACCAGCCCTAACGTGAGCCCCTTATGACAGGTGAGGACTTCGCAGCTTCCTGGGCATTAATGGAGGCTTCTAGAAAGGCAGCCCTACCGCTTTCAGGCCATCATCCTGTGAAGGTGGCCCCTTGGCTGCAAGGGACTAGGAAGAGGAGCGACAGGACGACAGCCGGGCCCTAGTTCTCCTGCTGAACCTGCCACAGGTTGGCAGGGACGGTGACCACGAGGGAGAGCACCCAGGCGCACACAGGTGCTCCCAGCATTGCCCGGCCAGCATCACCTGGCACAGTAGCGCCAGGCACCCTGATACTCAGCCGCAGCCCGACATGAGCAAGTCAGTGTTGCGCTTGTCCGTAGCTGTGCTGAGGAAAAGCCGCAGGTGCCAGCCGTGCTCACGAGCATGCCACGAGCAGCCACTTCAGTCACTGTTGCCTCCTGGGCAGCACGTAGATTCAGAACGAAGGAAGCAGCCCCTTGGAGGTCTGGACACCTGCTCCGGCCAGCGCGGCCAGAGCCAGCAGGCCCACAGCCCGAGCAGGGCGCCGCTGCTGCCCGAGACCCCAGCCCACAGACCCGAGCACCTCGGAAGCCAGAGCCTGGCCCCAGGGCTGGCTGTCAGCTGTCATTGCCCCTCGGGGGCTTCTGGACAGACTGGCCTTCCGCTGCGGCCGCTGCGTGACGAATGTTTGCTTGGAAGACGCTGCCCACGCCCCTCGCCCCTCTGGCCCGGCTGAGGCAGCAGCACAGCCTCCCCTCTGGCGGGACTCTGCTCCTTCCACCCTCCAGGCCTCCGGCCTTTGCTTTGGTTTTCTGCTCGCGGGGGTCGCCTTCCCTCTCTCGGGCCCTGCGCCTCTTTCAGGCAACCCTGTAGCCACCATGTGCCCCCACCCAGCCCCAGGAGGCTCATTTGTGGGTGGCACTCATGGTATATTTGTGGAGACCGCTTGGGTGCCAGCATGGGTGGGGGTGGGACCCAGCGGGGTATAAGAGCCAGCCCTAAGGCCGCCGACCACAGAGGGGCAGCACTTTGCCCAGAGTCCCCCAGAGGCCGGGGCCCCTCCCTGCCTGTCACTTCGGACAAGTCGTTTCACGCGTCTGAGCCTCAGAGGCTGCACCAGGAAGCTGGGAGGAGCAGGAGGGAAAGGCCTGCATCTGGGTGAAACTGCTGGCCCTGAGGACCTCAGTGGGCCCCGCCTCCGCTTCCTGGTGGGAGCCAGCCTTGGGTGGCCATGTGACCCTGTGGTGACGCTGGGATGAAGGGTCATGGTTGAAAAGGGTCACTGCCAGAAGCCGAGAAGTGGGCAGTGCCCAGGGCAGGGAGCCACATGAAGAGGGCAGCCCCACTGCCGAGAGCCAGCCCCCACTGCCCACATCTCGGCAGCCCGGAGGGAGGCGGGCTTTGAGGAAGTGGAGGAAGCCGGCGGAGGGCAGAAGCAAGCTCCGGGCTGGCAAACTCTTTTCTCCCAGTGCCATGTGTGTGTCCTCTCTGCCTTGGCAGGAGCTGAGGCAGCCCTGGGAGCCGGGCACATGCCCAAGCACCAGCCTCTGACCCGCCCCACGCCAGCCCCTCTGAACTCAGGACACACAGGCCAGGTTGTAGGGCCAGCGCTTGGCATGGGGAGCGGGGGCGTACCCAGAGGGCTCCACTCCCTGGGAGCTGCGCCCGTCTCTGGCAGACTAGCAGCAGGAGGAAGGGGCAGAGAGAGGCGCAGGGAGCACTGGGCCGGAGTCACACCTGGTGTCAGTCACCACTGGCGCCCAAGGGCTCAGGGCCCTAGGGCAAGCCCTGCTTTCTCGGGCCTAGAGGCCTCCGTTTGATTCTGTCCCGCTTTTGCTGTCCCCTGCAGCCCTGGAGGCACCAGGCCCAGTGCTGGCACAGCAGCAGGCTCCTTCCCCTGCCCGCCATCTGGGAGGTGGAGACAGAGAGCTCCTCCCCACGGCCCCGGCCATTCAGGCACACGAGGGGAGGTCGACAGGGAGTGGCTCGCAGGACCGGACTTGGGTCCACGGGGCCGTGCCGCCACCCTGCCGTGTGTGCCAGGACTGCCCAAAGCAAGCCTCGCTCCTCTCCCTGGGACAGACCGGCGCAGGCGGGGCACACCACCACCTGCCGCCTCATCTGTTCGGCCCCGTCACGAACTCGGTGTTCTCAGTCATTCACGGACTGCGGGCTTCAAGTTCACATCCTCCATCGCTCCTACTCTCTGAACGCAGCCGGTCTGTCGGGGTGGCCCTGAAGACCGACTCTAGTCAGGATTTCAAGCATGGTCTGGCCAAGGCAGAGTCGTGCAGGACTGTCACCTCCCTCCTGCTACTTGCTCTGCTTCTAGTAATGCAGCCTAATGTTAATGTGCTCTGCTGGTGACCGCATCTCACTGCTGACCCATCTGGGCAGAGGGACATTCAAACGGCCTAATCCCTTTGCTCTGTGCTCTCGCTGCCCAGCTCTGCCTCTCCTGCCCATCCTATGCTGCTGCAGTTGGTTTTTGACCGTGATGCAGTCTGACTTTGTCCGTACCTGTGGATTCCGCTGGGGGCTGGGCGTGCATGCAAGCAACTGTGTGTTGGTGTGTTCACGGCTCATGCTTTCCGCTGCACCAAAGCCAAGTCCTGGGTCCCCACACAGCCCGCCAAGGCTCAGGCCCCTGGCTAGCCTCCTCTGACGCATCTTTTTTGTCTTCTGTTTAGCAAGAGAAGCAGAGATCAGGTCCTACGGCAATGACCCCTGAGCAGCGGAGTCCATGTGTCGCCCAACAGATGAGTCAGTTTCAAGGTAAGCAGCGAAGGGCCGTGTCCCCAAAGGTACAGGCCAGGGGCCGGGTGAAGGTAGGGTGAGGCTGCACTGCCCAGTCAGCCGTCGGGTTTGTGAAAATATGGGGGTCCTGCACGCATGGCCGCTGCCGTGCCCTGCCCCGGGCGGGGCTGTCCGCGCAAGCGCACGTGCAGGCCCCACGCAAGGCCCCTCGAAGCAGCTGTCCTCTATGGCGGACGGGCCCAGGCCCTGCCTGGGCTGTTTGCCAGAATCAAATGAGCGTGCCCCCGCCCCAACTGCGGCTGCGACCGTCCCCTCCTCAGGGCTCCTGGGCCACATCTAGGTGTGCGCCATGGAGAAAGGGGTGGAGAAACTCTCCCCACCAGTCTGTGACGGGGTCCGCAGAGCCTCTGCAGACCGCAGGGGCCGCACCCCGACACTAGCGACCGCCACAGCTGTGAGTATAATCGACGTGGTCGAGGGGGTGGGGGCGCTGACCGCTAGCAAACAGGCCCAGATGCCTGGGCCACGGAGCCGGCGACAGGTGGGAGAGACGGGTGGCGGCCCCTCCAGCAGTGGACGGTCGCTGGGCCAGGCCGGGTCGTCTCCCCTGCGGCTCCAGGGAGGCTGCTTGCCTTCCAGCGGGGAGTGAGCCTCTTCCTTTTAGCTCCTTTTCTCCCGTGAGACCCCTGTTCCTGTGCCCCGGACCAGCTCCGTGTGCTGGCCGGCCAGGCTGTGTGGCCATCAGCCCAACACGCAGTTGCAGGGCAGTCGAGTCCCAGGAGGGCCAGTCGGCGGGCACACAGCGCCAGGCCTCTGAGAAGCTGACCCCCGCCTCATGGCGCTTACGAGCGACTGGGAGAGTGGAGAAGCTGGCACTCTCGGCCCGTCTGACTGCTCTTGGCAGGGCAGTCAGCGCAGGTCTGGGGAGTCCAGGCTTCCCACGAGAGCTGCAGTCTAGGGGGGCTGAGAATTGCTGGGCGGCAGGGCATGCTCGGCAGGAGCTGGGGCAGAAGGGAGGGGTCAGAGCCAGCCTGGCCCTCCCGCTAACAGGGGCAACCCAAGTGGCAGGCACCTTCAGAACTGACCTCCTCTCTCTCCCTGTAGCCGTCCAAGAACAAGTCACCTCCAAGTGCAGCCGGACCAAGGCCAGCCCCCTGTCCAGCCAGCACACGATGCCACCCAGACCTGGGCTCCTTCACCACAACCCGAGTCCGGGGGCGCTCCCACCTACCAGGCAACGGAGCCAGGAGGGCATGGGCACGCCCTCAGCAGCCCTGGGAACCCTCCATTCCGGCCTTGGCGCCCCCATCCCCTCACCCTCCGGCCCAAACCCCGTGGGCAGAGTGGGCTCTGCCTGCCAGCACACCCAGCTTCCTGAGGCTGCCTCCCTGGGAGTGCCCCTGTCGGGGTTCTGTTCTAGCCCCCTGGGCAGCCGGCCCCCAAGTCCCCACCAGCTTAGACAGCCCTGGGTGCCAAGAATGCCCATTGTGTTCAACAGTGCCACATGGGAGGCGTCAGCAGCAGGCACCACAGCGGTCTTGAGGAAAGCACCCCCAAGCAGAGCAGATAATAGCATCCAGCAGCGTCCCCATAGCCACTCCAACTTCGCCAGGGCGCCCGTCAGGGCGCCCCTGGTCGCCCCAGTGTTTCCATCACAGCGGGCAGCTGTGCCCCCTAATCAGGTGGCACCAGGAGGCAGGCCTGGCCAGAAGGTGGGTGCTGCTCTGGCCAACCCCAGTTTCAGCCTGCTGGGCAGCCAGAACCTCAGCCAGAGCCCAATTCGGGGCCCCGTGCCTGTGCTGAGCTCTGCCAAGTCCCTCCAGCAGGGCGTGGCCCACTTATGCCCCCTGAGTCCCATCCAGGGCATCGAGCCACCAAGCTATGTGGCAGCTGCGGCAGCTGCCGCCGCCGCCGCCGCCGCCGCCTCTGCCATCGCTGCCAGCCCGTCCCCAGGTCCACTCGCGAGATCAGGTCCCCCCTCTGAGCCTCCACCCTACGACTTTTGGACCCAGCCCCCACTCAGCGATCCCGTTCCACCACCTGACTGCAACGCGGTGGGCGCCATCGAAGCCCTCCTGAAAGGCCCCAGCGCTAGCCCCGATGCAGCCTGGGAGTGTGGCCTGAGGCTGATTGATGACATCCTGGGCCAGCAGGCTGCTGTCCCAAGGCCGCCCCCCAGAGCGCTGGGCAGCTGCCGAGGCCAGCACACGTAGAACCCCCACCTGGACAGCACCGTGGGGCATGGCCTGAACCGTGGCAGGCCCAGCTGCCCCCCACTGCCTCGTGCTTGCTCCCTCATGGCCCTGCGAGGGCGTCAGCACACACTCGTCCGTCTCCACCTGCGACAACATGGAAAGCTGGTGATTCTCAAGCTACCTGTACATATTTGAAAATTTTGTAAATGGTTTTCCTAGACATTAATGACAGAAGTATTTATACTTCATTTTGTGACTTTGTAAATAAAGCGACGGCTTTCGTAGAGGTGTGTTTATTATGTATTGTTTTGTGTTTATTATACATGATTGCAAATATGCAGACTGTCCGTGGCTCCAGGTGGTGGAGTGGCTTATGGTTGTGACCACAACGTGGCTGTGAGGTGTGTCGTTCAGGCCGACCCGTGCCAAATAGAAAACCTCTGGCCATCTCTTCACATTTTCACTGAACCTTCTTCCGCCTGTGTGCGTGGTGACCTCTTCTGCAAACCCTGCGGTCACCACTAGCTCTTTCCTGCCGTTTTCCCTGGTGTCCCACCAAGGCTGAGGGTTCTGGAGACTGGGGCAAAGCAAAAGGCAAACGTGTGGGCTGACCCACACCATTGAGAGTCTTTTCTCTTTCAGACGTAGAGGAGAACAGTTTGGTCCCCGGTGGCAGCCTCGCCTGGTGGGAGATGTGCAAAGCCTTTCAGTATTTGTTTCAATGTAAGGCCCTGTGATTTGGGGGAGTCTGTAAACATTAACAGTTGGTTTGGGGTTTGTCCTTGGCGGTTTCCAGCCGCAATTATCGTCATGTATACTTCAGTTTCTGTCCTGTAAACTTTGCTCAGTGTCCAGACTGTATCACGTTGAATCGCCACCTCGTATTTCACCCTTATGTTGGAGATCTGGCGTCTGTTTCTGGCCAGTGCGTTTCACCTTTGTTCTGTAATAAACAGGAAAAAAGAGCCTCCACGTTTGTTTTTTCCAGGGAGCGTCAATACCTATACACCCACCTCTCGGCGTGTCTCCCAGAGGCCACCGCGCGTCTCGTGTGTAGGAAGACGTTATACAGTGTGAGCAAGGGTAAGAAATTTGTGTAACTGTCATTACCTGTCACATCTCACAAAAGGAAACAGGGGAGGAGATGCCACTGAGGCAACTGCTGGAGGCGAGAGTGAGGAGACTGCATCCCTGTTTTCTCCATCAACAAGGTGGCAGCAGAATGAAGCCCCGAGTCCTGCGACGGGCCACCGCGTGGCGTGACTGGAGGGAAGAGGACACTGAGGCGGGTGGCACATGTGCTGTGCAGCACAGGGAAGTTCACTCACTTCACAAGACAGCCAACCAGACCCTGGTGAAAGTGGGGGGGGGCAGCTGAGCATCCCCATGATGCGCAGCCCATGAGAGCAGGGGCACCCACCGCCCTCCAAAGCCTCAGCTACGCTCAGCCCTGTGTGTCCCGAGTGCTGAAGCCCAAAGCGCTCAGTGGGCCCCAGGGTCCGGAGCAACTGGGGTGCAGGAGGGCGGTCCCCAGGACCAGGACCACGGCAGGAGTCCCTGCTCTAGTTTCCAGGGCTGCTCCGCCCGAGCCCACTTGTAGCCCCTGCTTGGTGGCAGCGCTTGGCCCCCACCCTCCGCAGCTCGAGCTTCATGTGAATATGTCTTCTGGCTGGGCCTCATTCCAAAGGGAATCCTAAAGAGGTGGTGGGCCTGCCTCTCCTATGAGGCGGCCAGGATGGAGCAGACAGATGGTCAGGTCGCACATGGGCCCACTTCTCCCCAAAGCTAGCTGGACACTTCGCTCGGAAGTGTTGGCGTCAGAAGTCGTCAGTTGATTACTTTCCCTGACCGGAAGAATTCATGGTCTTTTCTCAAGGCACAACGGATGATGCCCAATGTCACCATTTGGGGGCTAAGGGCGGGTCTGCCCTGCTCAACAGACCCTAAACTGCTCTGAGGAGAAGCCCCCATCCATCACTCTTCAATGCCTACGACTAGGGGTGGAAGCAGGCCTCCAGGCCGCGGGCCACAGGGGTGGTGGAGCCTCGTTACCCAGAAGCCCTGGTTCTCGGCCCGCCCCTTCCTGCCTCCTGCAGAGTTCCTGCTAGATCTGGGTCCTGGAAGTTTCCCACCCCCTCCCACATCACCTTTGCCCTTGTCACCCCGAGTCTCACAGGCAGCGCCCCCAGGGAAGCTGCGAGTGTCCCAGAGGTGCCAGGCCCCAGACCACACAGACTGTTGAGTCTCTGCGTTGCTTCAGGGCCCTCTCTCCAAGCCCTGCTTCCTGGTGTGCCCGGGGGGCGGAACGGGAGGTTTTAGGTGGAGGGGGGCACGCAGGCACCCCTCTCCAGTTCCGTGTTGGATCCACACCTCCCCCAGCAACACACTCACGCCAGATAGTCATGGTGCGGAGCCCGTGTCCTGTGGACCCCCCCAGCACAGCCTTCCAGGGCCCCTCAGCCTGAGAGCATCCGGGTCACAGTGGCCCCACTCAGCCCTGCTGTCCCGAGCCCTAAGTAGAAGCAGAGTAGAAGCAGAGCTCTGACCACTGAGCTGGTTCCGGCTTCTGCTTCCAGAGTGTTCACTTCCACCCCAACCACACCAGCCCGCGAGGGGGGCCAGCGTGGAGCGCAGTGGAGGCGACTCCCTGAGCCTACTGCCTCCCGGGCCCAGCCTGGCACCACTGCCCCTGCGTCCCGCCCCTGGGGCTCTGTGGCAGCTACCCAGGCTGCTCCTTCCCTGCTATTCTGCAGGCCTTGGCCCCCTTCCCCTGCAACCTCAGCCTCTCTGCTGAGTGCTCCCCGGAGCTTTCAACCAGGCCCTGCTCGAAAGACCCTCGATGCCCCAGTTTTGCCTCCCTCCCACTCCCTGCCCAGCCCAGAGCCACGTGGCTGGGTCTGCTGCCCCTTCCCGGCCATGGGGTTCACCCAAGCTCTCCACTCCCCAGGGAAATGCCCCTCCAGCAGCATCATGCTCTCCCCTTCCAGAAAGTACTGCCCCTGGCTCCTGGGAACCAGTCTCCCGGGGCCCTGTTTCCCCTGTGGCCTGTGGCCTGGCCCTGTCTCCACCTCTGAGGCTTGAGACCCAGCCCCTCCTGCCCCACACGAAGACCCTGCACCTTGGCTGCTTCCTCTCACTCACTGGGACTTCACGCTCGCTCTCCTGCGTTCCAGCTTCTTTCCATGAGCAGCTTCTGAGGCTGAGCCCCACCCTCCTCGCCTCCTAGCATCCCCACCAAGAAGAGCCTGGAGCTCGGGGTGCCCTGGAGCCCGGGCCCACTCCGGCCATGCAGGTTGAGCTGCCGAATGAGTGGGCATTCTGGGTGTCTTCCTGTGCCCCGCCCTGGCCTTCTCCAAACTACACTGCCTGCAGCCCCGCGTCCTGCTCTGTGGCGGGCAGTCATTATGCCCTGGGCAGTGCCCCACTCCCGAGGCCCCCAATCCGCTTGGTGTCCAAGCCCACAGCGTGCGAGGCTTCCTTGCTCGCCACCCTCCCTCATCCTTTCTGTATCCTGGAAAGAGGGGGTCTCTCCCCCAAATTAATCTGTAAAATCTCTGTGATCACACTAAAAAGCCCGCTGGATTCTTTCCTGGTGTATAACTGCATGATTCAAGATGAAGCACCTGGTGGAACATCAAAGCAAGGGCAGCTGGGGAATTTCTTAAAAGGCAAACTCAAGAAAGGATTCTAGCACCCCAAGTACTAAAACACATCATGGGTCTCCTGCATTTGGAACGTGTCTGTGACGCAGGACCACATACACGGGTGGGCAGAAAGGAGCTAGAAGCAAGCTCAGGAATGGTGACAGTGCCCGAACAGGGCCCACCACCTCAGTCCTGCCACGCGGGGGAAGGCAGGTGTCTGAGGCAAGCGTGGTCGTAGTGTGAGGGTCGCCCGCGCTTTGATTGCCGTGGCCTGAGATCCAGGAGCCATAAAGGGACACGCGGATGGAAAAACACAGTGTAAGTGAAATGACAAGGTATTTGGAACACGTGGCAAAGATTGAGATCCCTAATATTTACAAGCAAAAAGGCAAGTCCATGAATTTTATAGCAATCTCATGCACAGTTACCACTGACTCCAATGCTCCAGGTACCCACAGGGGGTGGAGACACCCTCTGGCATCGCCATCAGTAAAGCGGGGTGCTCCACAGCCAAAAAGCATGCTCTACAGTCAAAAAGGGTGCTCCACAGTCAAAACGTGTGCTCCACAGTCCAAAAGGGTGCTCCACAGAATGTGGAGCTACTCATCCAGGCTCTGGCCAGGTGACTTCCCATTATGCTAAGAGAGACACCAGGCACGAGCGCGTGCATGCGGGGCTTCGGGGTGCCAAACCTCCATGCACTCAAAAATCCAAGTACAAGTAACCCTCAGCCCGCTGTATATACCCAAACTTTGTATCTGAGGGTTCGGCCAGACGAGATCTGCCATTGCTTGAACCCGTGAGCATGTGTTCCAGCCCCACTCCATTTATTGTACGTGCAAATAGAGAAAAGTCACCTCTGGTGAGACAAGTCAGACACTGGGCCCCTGAGGCGGGTGGTGGGCTCCCCAGGGCACCAGGGAACGTTCTGGTGATGGTAAGTTCTCTGGCCTGATAGAGACGTGGGTGTATGCTTTGGTAAAACTCGGAGGTGGTTCACTTAAGCTCCGGACATCTGGCCCTAAGGGAATTTTCCCTAAAATAGAAACATCATAAACAAAAAATTACCCTAAGTTCAGATCTGCTGAAGAACTTACGTTCAAGTGCGCTCACGTCTGCAACTTACTCTGAGACCCACACAAAGGGAAGAACAGGGACGGGTTCTGAGAAGACCCATGTGAGCAAGTGAGGGAAGCAGCAGATTAATTGTAGAAGCAGCAGGTGTGTCGTTGGGGGTGCAACACGCTTCGGGTTTGCCTGATTCCTGGGAAATTTTCATGCTAAAATACTGGGGAGACTCTTTCTCAAGTGAAAAGGTGCTCTTAAAGTGCAAGTCTGGCATCTGGGTGGAGAAGAAAGGAGAGGGGATGGCATCCAGACTTCCTGCAGTATCTTTTCCAGAAACCAACGCAGATTGTCACAAAAGCAGGAAGCGCGCAGCAGGCCGGCGGCACCCATCCACAGCCAGCGCTTGGCATAAAACGCTCGCTCGGAGCTCATGTGGTTGGCCTACACTTTGCGTCGTCTGGATTTTTTTTGAATTTGTTTTTAATGTCCCATGTTCACCTCTATTTACGCTAACAAACATTTATCTTCAGTATGTATGACCCAAGGAAGAGCTCTTTCAAGCTGACGACCTAATGTGCAAAGGCCAAGCTGGCTGAAAAGTCACGTAAGCCAAGAGAGGCCAGTGGCCACCCAGCCCAGGGAGGGGCGAGCCCTCCCTCAGAAGGGAGCGCCAGGAAAGCCAAAGGCCCCAGTCGCTGAGAGTGTCTCTGTGGACTGTGCTCCAGAACCGCCAGTGGCGGTCTTTCCAGAATACCCCTCTGGGCCCTGACCTCAAAAGTCATCCAGGGGCTAGGGAATCTATTTTGTGAGCTCAAGGAATGTGTTGCGGAGGAAACCCGCGCGGGCGTCCGGATGTGTGTTTGAGGTACCTGATTGATTACACATTGTGGGACGCAGCCGGCGCTCGGGAACACCCCAGCGTCCACAGCAGGAGCTGGTTAAAGGTTCAATGAAGAACGCGGTCTGGGTCCTCGGTCCCGAGCAGGCCAGAGGCCTTTGCAGGCCAACGGGCACTCATGTACAACACTCAGGCGCTGCCTGCTGTTCCGACCTGACGACCCAGGGGGACCCTCACGCTTTCCTGGAACCCTCGAACGCACAGAGGTTGTGCCCTGTCTTGGCTCTGGAGTCTCCCCAGATAACAGAAGAAAACTCTCAGGAAGGCACAGCAGTTTCTCACCCTTCCTCCTCAGAAACACTGCTGAAGGGCCCCTCAGCGTGAGTGAGTCTGGATCCCAGCTGCCCA